CAAATCGTCGCAATTAATTCAGGTTGTTCAAGCACCCAAATTAGGAAAATGTACAAAGGTTTCATTGATCTTTGAAACCAGTTTTAATGTAACGGAAAATTATTCAGAAATCCTGGTGGAGAGCTTGGCTTTGAAATTGCGGTAATTTGTGGATAAAATTGACAACAATTATTTAACAATTTTGTGTGTCTTTGAATTCAAAGGTTTTCATAACGGGGGCGGGAGGGTTGGGGTCCCAACTTGGATGCCTCGTGCTGAAAATCTGCCACGGGCGTCGCGCGACGTTAATCCGGCCCTGCCAGAAGTATGTTCTCCAGCGAAGATTTTTAAATTTTTGAGTCGATAAAATGCCATTTTCAGCATTTCATTTTATTTTTTTTGCCATTTTCATTTCTATTTTAATGCGATTTGGTGACTTTAAATAACCATCTAACACATAACACATAACAACTCTACTTAATCAGAACCGAATGCAGAACATTTAAAACTTAGGATTTAAAAATTCCATTGCAAGAAATGAAAATATAATGCACATGCTTGTACTGGTCAGAATTTTCCGATCTGTCCAATATTTTGCCCCCTTCCCAGCTCTGGCTATGTCACTGGAACAAGTATTAGATGAGTTACAAATGTTCTGAGTACCCGTACCCTCATTGGAACATTCATAACTTATCTACTACTTATTCACATCCATCAGAAAAACAGGGCTTTAAAACACAGGACTTAGTAATTTATAATTATATTATAATAATTATGACGTAATACCAGTATGGCATTCTAATTGCAATGTGTAAATACTAGCTTGTACTAATTTCTTTTACTAATTGTTTCGTTTTACCTCGTCAACAGTCTGTTTCATCCGTATGGGAATCATCAGGTGGTCCGAATCATCATGATTCCTATACGGATGAAACAGACTGTTGTGATTTTTCGGGTTAAACGAAAAACTATATTACGCTGTATCTATATGGTATTGAGCACTGTTTGTGTTTCGTAAACCAAAAACTTTAGCTTATTATATATATATATATATATATATATATATATATATATATATATATATATATATATATATATATATATATATATATATATATATATATATATATATATATATATATATATATATATATATATATATATATATATATATATATAATAAAA